TACTAAGGATACATTGTGCAGGAATTCTTCAGATTTCCGGGATATATCTCTCCTTCTAGTGAGCTCAAGTTCACCGACATCCCCAACGGACTTGCAGCAGCCACCAAAGTTCCAGCCGTTGGTTGGTTCCAGTACACCATCTTCTGCGGCATTTGCGACCTTTGGCTGATGCACCAGGTCCCAACCAACCCAGCGGGAAAGCTGTGCACTCGCCTGTTTGGTGAGGGAGCCACCAACTACGAGTACGGCTTCTTGGGACTTCCCGGATACTTGGGTGGCAAGGCAATCGAGGACGCTGACGTCAAGAAGAAGAAACTCAACGCGGAAATTGCCAATGGACGTTTGGCCATGATGGCCATCATTGGCATGTTTTTCCAAGATGGTCTTACGGGATCTGCTTGGGGTGATTGGGCCAACTACACTGAGTCTCCATTGCGCTGATCCTTGTATTTTTATGTTTTGCTCATAGGAGGGATGGCATATAGCCTCAGCCTGCAGATGAAGAGACTAGCTTCCAATCGGAAGGTTTTCCGCCTGAAACGCGCATCCTGCGCAAACAAACTGTGTGCAGTTGTTCAGGAGCATCAAGACTCACTATCCGTTTGCTGTTGACTGCCACTAGAGTAACAAACTACTGTCCATAATACGCTGCAGGCCTTGTCATTAAGCTCTTCAATGCGTGCACAAAAGCGTTTGGCGCATTGCAGCCATATTGGCACAGGTAGCAGCAAGCGGCATAGATCCAGCTCCTTGCAGCAATGGCACCTCACATGTCGAAGACCGCAGCCGCTGCTGCTGTGGTGGCAGGAACTGCCTTTGTGTCCTTGCCAAGTCAGCGCTCAGCGCCCACCTCCCGCGCGCCTGCCCTGCGCGGAAACGCTCCAGCCCATGCGAATGCAACGGGCATGATGAGCACTGTAGGCAGAGAGCGGTCCTGTGTTTACCAAACACAGCCATACTATCATGGATGGACCTATGAAACCTTCTGGACGAATCCCGAATTTCCTAATGTAGACTCTTGAGGACCATAAACCCCCATATGAAGAGGACTTCCAATTCAAATGGAAGGATTTATTGATCAAGAGTCTACATGAATCTAGGGTTACTGGGCTCTTAAGTTTTGGATGAATCAGCTAAGCTAAGCAAGATGATCACTGCTCTGGTCCTCGCCGCGTTCATGCGACACGGTGCCCACGGCACACTTGTCAGGTGTGGCACTTGGTGCGACAGCTGTTGCCGCGCTGCGTAAGAAAGAGTCCAGCAAGGCAGGCAATGAGTGAAGTCTGAAGAAGATCGAGATCGCTATTTTGCCGCATTATACATGTGCACATACTGTACATTAAAAACAGAAAGTGTTGATCTGTACTATTTGACCATGCAAGAAATTACTAACCCTGGTAAACAAAGACAGCAAATGGAGCTGAACACCAAGCGCTTTGCAATGAGTTTGTGCCATAATTCTGCCCTCGCCATACGCATTGACCAAGACCTTGAGACATAACAAGTAGTGTTCAGGGGTATAGTGTGTACCTAGATTGGTCCCACATGGGCCCAAGAAATGGATCCAGGTTCAAGCTGGATACCATCAACCTTATTGTATAATAGTCCTTCGATGGGTCAATCAGGATAAACGGATGGTCAAAAGGGTTGAAACGTCCATCGGATCGAGATCGGCCTTGAAACAACATTCCAAGGGTTTCCTGAATCTTCTTGATTATTTATAAGTACCAGCACCCTCCTGGCCAGGCTGCTAGTTGAGGGTTGTTGGACCCTAACAGGTCTCAATTGGTGACCTGTCGGAGGGTCCTGGTATATAGTTGTTGAATGTTGTTGACACATGATGACACTGCCACACAGATGTTACTTTGCAGGGCTCCCTGACTGGTCCCTTTTCTTCCTGGTCGCCCTGTTTCAGCGACAGGCCTCCCAGCTGAAGGCTTTTGAGAATGAGCTGGGCGTGCAGCCGCCCTTGGGCTTCTGGGATCCCGCCGGATTGTCCAGCGACGCCTGGACGGTCGACATCGTGTTCTTTCTTTCGGGTCGACGTCCACCATGGTCGGACGTTCGTGTGTGGTCAGTGGTGTCCTTTTGCCCAAATAGTTGGACCACAAAGATCCACAAATAACCCTACTTGTGCTTTATCATGCTTTATCAGAACATGGATTTATTGCAGCATTGCATGCTTGAAGGTCGGCTTGCTTGATCACCAAGGATGGAGATGCAAGGGAATTCTACCGCCGACGTGTTGTCGAGATTAAGCACGGCCGAGTCTCTATGTTGGCCTGCACTGGAGACCAAGCTGCAGATCATCCTTTGTAGAATGCACTGTTCTTTGTTTGACTTCCGCTATATTGTACTAAGGATACATTGTGCAGGAGTTCTTCAGATTTCCGGGATATGTCTCTCCTTCTAGTGAGCTCAAGTTCACCGACATCCCCAACGGACTTGCAGCAGCCACCAAAGTTCCAGCCGTTGGTTGGTTCCAGTACACCATCTTCTGCGGCATTTGCGACCTTTGGCTGATGCACCAGGTCCCAACCAACCCAGCGGGAAAGCTGTGCACTCGCCTGTTTGGTGAGGGAGCCACCAACTACGAGTACGGCTTCTTGGGACTTCCCGGATACTTGGGTGGCAAGGCAATCGAGGACGCTGACGTCAAGAAGAAGAAGCTCAACGCGGAAATTGCCAATGGACGTTTGGCCATGATGGCCATCATTGGCATGTTTTTCCAAGATGGTCTTACGGGATCTGCTTGGGGTGATTGGGCCAACTACACCGAGTCTCCGTGGCTTAGCTGATCCGAGTCGGCGAGTGGACGCCCATGGCCCGTTCCTGTTGTTCGTATGGGCAGATGAAATGATTGTTTTGCAGTGCGGCGTTCATGCATGTTGTTTTATGACTATGAATTGGAACCCATGCGAATCTGCTCCATGAGATTCAAACCGGTCTATCCACAGTGCCCCTTTTCATGGAAGAGAATGGAAGGTTTGTTGTCCTAGAATGCGTGATCAACAGAATGAATGTGTTTTTTTTGTGGTATAAAGATGAATATCCATGTGGTATTCATGTTTAATTTATGTGTCCACATCATCTTTTTATAATATGGTGGTTGTCCAACCTTCAAAAAAACAGGAGCCAAACGTTCAGCTCCTTTGGGCTGAATGGCCACATCCAACCCGAAGAACACCGGCTTCCCTGGTGACACCTTGAAAACCGGGCCGCGGCCCTGACGACCGCTCCGACATCGCATCTCTTTTGGATGGTCAACTGAAGGTCCAATGGAGATTTGGTGCTCAATGGAGATTTCAAGATGTCTATTTCGTGGCCTTGGTCGTCACGCCACAAAGGCCTAGGTCCAACAAAAAGCGAGAAAGAAGATGAAAGAAGTATAGGTCGTCCATGATGGGTGTCCCCGTTCCTATAGATGGTCCTAGGGTCTGTCCTACCTGTAACAGTCAGTAAACAATTATCATCATTTTGACCAAGGCCTTTACTAACCATAATGATGATGATGATGATGATCATCATCATCATCATCGTCATCGTCATCGTCATCGTCATCGTCATCATCATTTGTTACTGACTGTTACAGATAATAGAACCTATCAACATCATCATCCACTGGGCCCAGGTAATAGGTCCTATCTCACTAACCCTTTGACCTCGCGGCGAGCTAGGCTCCGGGCCTTCGAGAGCGAGTTGGGCGTCCAGGCGCCCCTCGGCTACTTCGACCCCATGGGCCTCTCCAAGGAGAAGCGGGCGCGTCCAAAACGGCACGGCCGATGGATCCAAAAAAAAAAAACAAATCGCCGTGGAAGGAGGTGGTTTTTTGGGAGGGGTTGCTTTTTAGTGGAAAGATGCGAAGGAGGGGCATGAGAAGGGAGGTAACGAGATGATAGCGAGACGTGAGCAATCTTGAGAAGGGGTGGGATCAGAATGGTGTTGAGCGATGTTGAGCGCTTACCAGCAGTATGGATGTTTGGTACTACTGCATGTAACTATAATGTAGTGTGTATATATTATATAGTTATATGATAATAGCAACATATCGGCCTAAGTGCTTGGCATTTGATTCCTGTAGATCTTGATAGGCAACGCACTCCCTGGCCCAATGTGTCAGACGCCACCTGTTAGAGGTGGAAGCTCATCTTCAACAACAAGTAAGTGGGGGTTGGGTACATGTTATATACACTTCTCAAGGGTATTAATGCCCGTATGCCTCACCAAGAGCAGCCCAACTAAACCAAGCTGCGACCCCTTTCCCTTTGCAGTTGCTTGATGCATCCGATCTCCAACCTCAAACAACTCTCTTTAGGGTCTGTCCTATTGCCTGTAACAGTCAGTAAACAATTATCACTATTTTTGGACAAGGCCTTTACTAACCATCATCCACTGTTACAGCGATTAGGATAGACCCAAACTCTCTTTTTGAACGGGCTGTTCAACCATCTCAGAATCACCCGATCTTCAAACCGTACCTCTTCAGATCCGATCTGGATCTTCACCTCCACTTCTCCATTCCACTCGACCCATTGGATCCATTCCACTCGACCCATTGGTTCACTCCGGTCTCCGACCCACCGGCCTCTTCCCCCCGAACACCACCGCGGCGTAGGGCGACACTTCCAGCGCAGGATGGGGATGTGGAAACCTTCCGTCGGCGCCGCGAGTGTGAGCTGACGCTTGGGCTTCTTTCGAATGGAAGGAAGGTGCTTCTTCCCGCCGGAAGCGGGAAGAGGCAAGGTCGGATCTTGGATGGCCCCACGGCCCATGCCCATCATCCAATTTGGAGTATACAAAGGCAACCTGATACAACCTGTTATTATCAAGTTGGATCAACCGAAGTCCAAAGTCCCTTCCCCTTGGCAATGGCATCTCAAACATTCTCACGCAGAACAACATGGGGAGTGGGACGGTTCAAATTCCCCCGGGATGGATTCAAATGCAAGGACGTGGATCAACTTGTGTGTCGCATTGAGATTGGTTGTGCAGAAGACAGTCACATTTGCACATGTTTGCACAAGGATTGATTGCACTGGGGCGCCAGCTAATTACCTCCTCAGAAGTTACCTCCAAACCTACCCCAATCACCAAACCTCAGGAGGTAGTTGCAGCCCTGGGGCTAGATAGGTTGCTGGCAAGTGACTGCAGCCCAGGAAGAACGGCCGCGTTGCGATGTTTGCCACCATGGGGAGCCTCGGCTCCAGTAAAGTTCTTCCTTTTGGTGATTGTGAGGTGTGTGTTTCAAGTGAATCCAAGAGCATGGCATGGTCTCAAAAGGACTCAATAGGGAACTGTCAGTGTTTGCCGTTTTGTGTGGCGGGGGGGGGGGGGGGGGCGCTGTGGAGGTGAAACATGTGCACCAAAATGCCGTCGCAGACAGCGTGGACGCTGTTTGACACTTCCGTGGGTGTTGTGAAACGTGTCCAAACTGTGGTGACTTGTGGACTATAGACTGGAATCACTTTTGCAATGTCCCATCCTGAACAAAACGATTGGTGTCCAAGGTTTCAGGTTGCATATCATATCAGTCTTGTGGAGTAGCCTGTTGATGAATTGCCATGAATCAATCACATACTATCACCGTCTTCCCCGAAACCACATCCTCCCAAAGCAGGTTTCACAGTTGATGGAGTGAGTCCAGGTTCCCATGTATTGAACCACATTGAAGCTTTGTGGATCCCGATCCAGCAGCAGTCCAATTCTAGATGCATCTCCTATGGCCCCCAGCTCCTTACAGTACTCCCTGTCAAGGGGTTTCACCCAGACAGAGCTGGAAAAAGGCAAACCGTGGCACTCATGTAGACCCTTGATGAATTTACCCCTTTGAATTGGAAATCCTCTTCAGGCTTGGTGGGGCTTTTTACTCAAGAGTCCATCCACATGGCTCATCATGGCTCCACCCACCCATGGGTGCCGCCGTACCCGTGCCCCCGTCCCGTCCTGAAAAGCCCCCGCCCGTGGCAGGTACATGGTCCCGGAGTACTTCAAGTTCCCGGGATATTTGGCGCCCTCCTCGAACCTGAAGTTTGCAGATGTGCCCAACGGCCTTGCTGCCATTACCAAGGCCATTTCCCATGGGTGGCCAGGAAACATGTGTGTGGCCATGGCCAATAACAGGAGACGCCAGACCAGCAGCCACGGATTCCGGGTGTCCATTAATAGCCCCGAAAAGAGGTCTTTCGGGGTGTCCAACCACGCCGACTGGGGGTCCAGGGAGTCCTTTTTTTCCAAGTGTGCTTCAATCACGAAAGGTAGCTTGAGCTACCTGAGTTCTCCTTGCTTTAGCAAAAATGTATTACAATCAGGAGTTGGGATTGTGCATTGAGTTTGGTCCTGTAAGAGTTGATTCTGTTTGTCGGGGGGGGGGGCCCCCTGGATCAAATCCCCCCTGCGCCGGTTCACGCCGTCATGGACTTCTACCAGGGTTACTTGTGATTGCCTGCTACCTTTCGTTTCACCCCCTCCTCTCTCAAGTCGTTTGCAGGGATGCGACAGTCAGACTTGACGAACACTCATGCATGGTGTGGTGTCGGCCAGGTACGGTGGTGCTTTGAATATCTTTGAATGCCGAGTATATCCGAGTATATAGTGGTTTGCTCTCCTACAAGCCTACAACACAACGACTGCAGACGGTTCGACATCATCCCACATCATCCACAGAATTACCTTTAGATCCTTTAGTTTGAGAAACTCCGAAACACCACGTGAATCCTTGAGGGAGAAAAGTTGTCAAGTTCCTGGAGTTATCCTTTTGGTATTTGGGTGTTGCGAAACTGGGTAAAGCAAGTCAATGTCCGACTCTCAGGCAGCTTTTTGCACTGCCGATCTGGTTCTGCCCTTTTTTCCTGGAATCTTTCCCGGGTACACACGATGGCCATATTGAGCTGAAGTGTGGTCCTTTGTTTGATTCAGAAGCGGAGGGCACTCGCTCCCTGTGGGCCTGCGTTTTGTTGGTGTTGATGACTCGATTGACTTGTTTTTCTTTACATCGGCCTTCAGATCCTGATAGAACCACTGTGTTCCTCCAGTGAGCAACGAAAAAGGTGCAGACTGGTGACTGATTTAACATTGCTGCCAGTTTCCACTGTCGCACCACATCCAACCTGATCAAATTAAATGTCCCCTTCTGAGCACCAAGAGGATCTCCCTCATGCTCATGCAGTTCCGTTACTGTATCCAGAGAATCCGAGTTACCACAAAAAATAGGAACCAGGACCAAAGGTGTGTGGCTTTATATAATCTTTGGAACCACTGGTTACTAGAAAAAAGTGGTAACTGGATCCCCTGGGCTCTTAAACGTCCTCTTCACAAACATGTCCTCTTCACATCAGGTGCCTGCTGAGGGTTGGCTGCAGTGGGTGGCTCTGTGCGGCTGCTACGAGTTCTGCGTGAACACCCCGGTGGATGCGGCGGAGCCGGGCAACTATGGCAAGGGTGTCCTGGTTGAGGAGTGGAGAAGCAGTGGGGAAGAGGAAGAAGCGGGGAGACTCTAACAAGTGTTCTTCTGATTTCTGAAGGCTTTTGGAGGCTTGACATTTCCGCTGACCAATGGACTTGGTGGACTGGGCAGGTTGCTGCTATGGGTCTGGGGGGTTGATACGGTTGGCTTTTGGGAGGCGCCGGGATCAAGCATTTGAGTGTCCACAAGTCCACCATGGACCAAGAACAAGACGTACAATTCAAAAGGGGTGAAACTGATGTATTCACTGGAGCTTTCAACAGACAGCCTAGACTGGCCCCACCCGCAAGAGAATGAGAAACTGCCCACCCGGCGTTACAATATGTTACAATGTAGATTGCACGTACACCTTTGCCAGAACTATGAATAAGATGTTCACCACCTTGGCAAACACACTGCGGTGTTCATTTTTTGGATGTTTCATTTGATGTAACCTAAAGATCCTAAAGAATGCAGCAATCAGGCGTTCGCCCCTCTCCTTGCCTGATCGGTCGTGGCCATCTCAGGTCGCCTGGGCTATGGCAACATGGTCCTGGGCATCACCGCGGAACCCATGCAGGATGCGGAGGCCCGAAAGCGTGCCTTGAACTCTGCTCCTTGGCGCATGCGAAGAAACGTGAAAGGGCTTTTTGTGAGGGATGGATGGTGAAAGGACTGGAAGACATGCGAAGAAACCCTGCGAACACTGTCGGTGATACAATGATACATGGCATTGCATGGCTAATTATAGTGTATACCGTATACCGGTTTTGCAGGTGGTAAACCATGGGAAAGCTGTATGCAAGTATGGGGTAGTGGGCTGTCATGGTTTTTCCATGGGTCTTCCGTCTGCCATGTCAGCTTTTGCGCCAGAAAAAGAAGCACGTCGAGGGAACACACGACCATGTAGACTCTTGATGAATACCCCTCCACTGTATGTGTTTGGGATGCTATTTTAGTTAATTAAATGGCAGCTCATTGAGTTGGCTGGACCTCAGTGGATTCATGTTTGAACTCATTGAGTTCTTATTTAGTTATGGTTTTCAATAACTGAGGGACCTCCATTTAACATTGAGAAATTGAACAGCTGGGGGACCCTGGTCCCCACCATTAGTGCTAGGTTCATGAAAACATATTCACATGAGTTCACACGGGAGGTTTTATCATACTATAGTCAAGAGTCCACAGTACCGGCTGGCTTTGGGAGCTACTGTTGGGAGTAATAGATGCTCGCAGCTTGTGCTCAGTGTTTCACCAGTCGGTCAAGAGTTGCACATGTGGAAGCTTGGTGCCTACTAGGTAACCATTCAAGATTCCAGCATTCCTTAAGGCAAATACAAGACATATGCAACATTTTATAGCTTTTCTATGCTTTTCTCAAAGCTTGAACACTTTTGGATGATTGTCACCTGGATGACCGTGCACAGCTCGGGTGTTTTCTCAACTCGCATTCTTTTGCTTGGGAAGATGGCTGAAGCTCTCGGCCTGGTCTACAGCAGGGTGTGTCTTTTTGGTCTTTGAACATCTCAGGAGTTGGCCAACGGACGCCTGGCCATGATGGCCATTGTAGGCCTTTGGGTGCAGGAGTGTACCTGACCATTGAGCAGGGGTGGCGGGGGTGGGTTTGGCTTGATTTGGGTGCTTGGGTGTTTACCCACAGCAGTTCCACGATTTTGCTGCACTTTTGGCCCAAGTGAGTGTTGGTGTTGGTTTTGTCCTAACTCATGGAACTCCTCCCCCAGCCAGGAAAAACCGCAGAATCCCACATCCCATGTCGGCGGTGTGCTTCCCACGACCACTGCACGGAGTGTGCAGGATGGCTTGTTCGGCAGCCCCTATGGACTCTATACCGGATCCAGCGCCTTTGAGAGCGAGACTTGTCATCGAACGGAGCGAGTGGAGTGTGACTGTTTTTGTTTTTTGTTGAGTGTTGTTTTTGGGGACGGAAACAGGGCCGGCGCAAGGCCAGATGACATCCGTAATGACTGGAGAAGTGAAGCTCCTCTCAGTCCGCGGTAGTGATGGTTTGTGGGGAGGTGAGCAGATGGGAAGCATGTGATCCCCCCATCTCCACACCCAATGTCAGTCAATCGGTTGTTCACCATGTTTGGGACATCCCGAAGCATGATTTAGGGACGTGTGATGTTTTATTCTCATCTCGTCCATTGACCTGTGCGCATTCTTGGAAATTGACATGGAAGAAAAAATGTGTGTGCTTGCTGTGTTTAAGTTTAGACGATTCGATAGTTTGATCATCCCTTCCCACAAACCGGAATATCACCTTGTAGATCCAGCTCAGCTCACCACCGAAGCGTATCAGCATACCTGTTCAATCCACTTCTTGAATAACTCTGAAGGCGCAGGTTCCCAAGAGCAAAAGCACACCACAGTCGCCTCAGTGTAAAAAACTAACTAACGTAAAACAACTGCAGCCGAATCCTTCGGTCCCCTCAATTGTTTGCCCGCAATTGCAATGGGTCGCAGGATCAATCAACCTCAGGCCAAGTCATGATATAAGTCGGGTTTGACAAGGTACAAATACTGGAATCGCATCATAAGAATTGTGAATTACTAGATAATGCTAGACAATGCTATATTATGCTATATTATAAGCCTGAGACGGCTACAGTTTCTTTTGATTGAATTCCACACCTCTTCAGCAGAATATCTCCAACCACCTGCCTCCGCCTCCCTCACCCTCCTCTTAAACATAGCACACCGCCCTTCAACATGGACGGCCTCCGCCCTTCAAGAACCACCTCTTCCTCCACGAACCACGCCTCCGCCTCGACTCCGCCTCGACTCAGGAGCTGGGTGTCCAGCCGCCCGTGGGCTTTTGGGACCCCTTGGGTTTCACCAAGACCGACGACGCGGCCTCCTTCCGCCGACGTCGCTACGTGGAGCTCAAGCACGGCCGTGTGGCCATGTTCGTGCCTTGACTCGCGGGGTAGAGCAGAGCGAGGAGCGATGCGGAAGAGGCGGAGGGTTTAAAAGGACAGGTATTTCAAACAGGTCAACAAAAAGTAATAGTAATAAAGCTGTCTGCATTATGAGCGGAGGAACAAATAAAGAACACAAACACATTGTGTGTTTTTCCTTGTTTCAAACATCGAAGAGAACTTTAATCGACCAGTCAGAAATTCACTCCTCCAAGCAGGTGTTCCAGATGGATTGGTGGTTTGACTAGTGCGACTCGCCAGCTAGATGGAGGAAAGGCCTTAAATAGGCAAAAGGAAAGCATGCGAGTATGGATGTGAGTGCGTGTGGTTACTGTGTTTGTTCGAACACCTCTTGACAATCCCTGAAGAACTATTTATTATGCTCCAATATTCCAATGAGTTTAGACAGAGAAGCAGAAATAGCTGTGACACCAAGAGAGTTTATGCCTTTATGCTACTTGTATAATATGCTAAATATATATATAATCACGAGTATCATCACGATAATATATGTACAAAAAGTCTCGATTAGTCTCACAGAGCCGAACCGCGGTACAGGCAGGGACGCTGCGACCCGGGTTTGCGGCGCTTGGATTCCTCTTCATCCGATCACAGGGACGCCACTCCACGTCCATCCCACGTTCGGACTGAGGCATGCTTGGGATACATCGTGCCCGAGTACTACCGCTGGCCAGGCGATTTGTCCCCTTCCTTGGGACTCAAGCTGCTTGACGGTTTTGTCCCGATTTAGCCGCTTCATTCGGACTCGGCGGCATCCCGGAGTGGCCACTCCGGGATCGGCGGCGTGAGACGGCTATAGACGAGAGGGGTACGAAGCAAGCTAGACTTGATCACTGATTTGCTTAGCAAGCTGGTGATGGTGTTCTTTTTGGGCCGAACTTTGGGTCACTTGCGGGTTTGTCTCTAACCCGCCTCAAGACTCCTCAAGTCTCGTGTGGTTAATATGGTGGTCAGAAATACGGCAAGACGTGTATAGGTCCAACAGCTGGCGGATCCTACATAAATGGATGGGAATGGTTGGCCAAGAGTTCTGAAGCGGGGAAGATGTGCAGAAAATATGCGCATATGCAAAATATTATTTTTTTGTCGGAGCTGTGCCGCACGAGAATACAAGAAAACAAGGCGATTTTGGCAGCAAACACTCAAGACTAGGATAGGCAACATAGTAGACATGACATGGGTATATAGACCGAGTGTCGACTTGGTTGGAGTGCTGACTTGGTGCCCAAAAATTTGAGCCCGAGGCGTTCATTTGTCTACAGGAACGATGGAAAATGGACTGCCCAAGTCCAAAGTCATCCATTTGGTCAGGAAAGCCCCAATGACAGGCACGGTCAATACGGTGGATTTGGGGAGGGAAGAAGACCCTCCAATCTCCAGTGCTAGGGGAGCTTGCACGACCGAAACCGGAAGCTGCTTCATGTTGTCTTTGTCCACCGATTGACTCACAAGTGAACAAAGCCCCTAAGAACAGAACAAGCTCAGTTCTATACAAACACCTATTGTACTTGCAAGTCATTACTGTACAAATACGAGGGGTTCCAGAAAAAGAAAGAACAAACACCTGTGACGGCCTTCTCCTGACGTCGACGGCTTCAGGTTTAGCGATGTGCCCACTGGCTTCGCCGCCTTCAGCAAGGTCCGGACCGGTGGGGCGGAACCGAGGTCCGAAGCGACGTCATACATACAATGTGATAGATTTCATAGCATTTCACATTCTCCATCATTCTCCTAGATTTTGTGTTGTTTTTTCTTCCCTTCAAATCGGCTTTGGAGAAGGAGAACACATATATATATATATCCGGTAGTCATGTTTACCGACAAGCGCAGTAAAGCATGGGAACAACAAAACGGAGAATGAGATCCACATCCAGCGATTTTTAGCCAGGTTGTTCATGGTTGTTCTGAAGATTGGTGACATTTGGTTGGTTTGGATCCACTCTTGAGCACATGAGGAGTTTTTCGTCAGCAAGATAAGATGTGTGGAGAAGAATCATGAAGCATGAAAGAATCTGTCATCCCCTAATTATACGATGGTTGTATGATGTTTGTGTGTGTGTGTGTGTCGCCAGTTGGATGGTTGTTTTGGAACCAAAGAATATAGTCGTGTGGAACATGCAGAACTTTTGCTCAATCCCAGCAACGGTGACCAGCCGGTATCAGGTGCCCTTGAGCGGCTGGGCCCAAATGGTCTTCTTTGCCGGCTCGGTCGAGCTCTTCCAATATGTTGCTTGGAGCAAGTCTAGATTTCTCTAGGCACGCCATGTGGATGTTGGGTCGAAAAGTGCGAGGAGACCCAGTGCGCAGACACACCATGTAATTATATGTGCACCAGGACCGAGAAGGGCTGCTAGTAGACACCCCTTCAATCCCCTTCACCTCTAATGAGCTATTAATCTCTATCAATACTCCTTAGGCGGTCCTGGTATTTAGCCCCTTTTTGCCACCCAGGTAAATATGCCAGTCCATGGAGTGTCAGTCGTGTGGTTGCCGACCATCGTTAACGCTCATCGATTGGAAGTTCTCAGACTGTTTTTAAGCACATTCGGTTACGGTCCATGTGAAATAAAGGATGGAGACGACGGAGTAGGGAAAGGGGGTCCAGATTGACCGGCCACCGGAAGCAGCAGCTTGGGTTGTACAGAGGTCCTTGTGAACCTCCAGTTCTCCATATGAACCTGCTGTGCCGCGCTTGTGAGCCTTTTTGGTGGAGCCGAGTTGGTCTTGTTCGCACATCGAGCTCGGCAGTTTGGGCTGCTTCGTTCCTCCAAAACATGGCCCATACGTAGAGAGTTGCCCGGGCATGGCAGATGCGACTTGCACGAGAAAGGATCATTTTGTTACCTCCTCCTTTTGCAAGGGTTGTTCATTCTGGGATCTCCAAGTTCTCCATTGGACGCTCTGTTTGAACATCAGCCGGATCATGCCATATCATACGGAAGAATTGTGAAGCAGGCCTCTTCTGAGTTCATCGCCAGAACTGAAACAGTCCATGCATGGAATACCTGGTTTTGCTCAGGGTAGTGCTCAGGGTGATTGGTAATTTTTGACATTTTCCCGGTCCACTCCCCTTCCCCAAAAAACGCCTCTACGACCCCACGTGCCCAACAGGTGGACGACCCCAAGCGTGCGCCGGGCGACTTCGCGAACGCGGGCTTCCTGGGAGTGCCCAACAGCTACGTCAAGGCGGGGCTGGAGGACGGGACTGGTGTGACCGGTGACGGGTACCCGTCAATGATGTTTGAGCGGTCCAGGATGTGGGGTGAAGATGATCTTCCTCGCAACTGTTGCAGTTGTTGCAGTTGTGGATACTCCGGAGGATATTAAAAATAGGATGATATACTGTATAGGTAGACTTGAATCTTCTTGTGGCTTTTTGCGACCCATTTCCATGGTCATGTTCCTCAAAACGGTCACCGCCCTCCCCCGAGTCCCTCCCCGTGTCACGCGGACGCGAGGTTGAGTCCCTCGCTCAGACTTGCAGACGTCCCTCGGTCACGTCTTCCCTGTCCCATGTGCTCCGGAGTGGTACCCCACCGTGCTTGGCCGGGAGGCGCCCGAGGGCACCAAGGAGAAGAAGCTCGCCGCGGAGATCGCCAACGGGCGATTGGCCATGATGGCGGCTCGGTGTTTGGGGTGGTTTGGCGGTGTTTGAGGGACTGAGGCGGGGGGTGTGGTTTTGGGTGAGGTGTTGCCCAATCAAGGTGGCGGAATGGAGAATGGAACAAAATGGAACCAATTGGTTCAATACTATTCTGGCCAATAGAATCCCGGGGAGTGTCTCATGGATTCCACACGATTCCTCCTCGTTCATCAACATGACAGGTGCACGGGTGCATGGGCGTTGACCTGGAACAGGAGATGCATCGAGGCGAGTCACATCCCTTTGGTAGATCGGTAGAATACCCAGACACTCCATGGGCCTGGAACAGTTCTACATTGGCACACCTCAAACCACCCCAACTGATCGGTAAAATATGCCAGTCCCATGGAGTGTTTGGGATAAAAGATTTAGTAGCACATCTCACGAACCCTGAACATCTTTGGGTAAATGTTTGGTGCTTTTGGTTTAAATGGTTTCTAGGTCCTGTATAGGTAGCTTGGCCTACCGTTTGGTGAACGTGAGCCGCTACCAGCGCGGAAGCTGCTTGGGAAGCTTGCAGTGACTGAGCTGGGCTAGAGTTTCCGATGGAACTTGGTCTATCTCAAAGTACTTTTGGAGTAAATCGATCGGCTTCGTCTTTCCAGTACATGAGGAGAGATTTGTTGGTGCCTGAGTGGGTGGTGGCTGGACGTAGAGTGCTGCTTCCAAAATCTAGAGTGTGGTGGAGATTGAACTGTTTCTGACGCTTCAACCATGTGTCTCAGGCAACTTTGCAGCTTGCTAGACCTTTACCTTTGTGTCCCTGAATCTCAAACTATACCTGACATTGTGGTACATGTTGGGTGGGTTTGCATGGTCCAAATGCAGGGTGAGTATCTCATTTTCAGGTTTGGTTTCAGGCTCCGGGCTTCTTCCCGGGAGCCATCCTTCTTTTTGGCATCCGTTTGGATCGGGCGGTGTCGTCCCCAGGCCATCATCGGAATGTTCTTCCAGGCATCGACGGTCTTCGCACCGAGTCGACGGTCTTCGCACGTTTCGCACCGGTCAGTACCCACGGTCCCTGCGAAACGCGGACGGTGCCGGACATGGGACAGGGTCGACGTCCGACTCTCGGGTCGACGTTCGACTCACAGCTACAAGTGTGATGGATTGCTTCAATTGCACTGGGGGGGCTGTGGGTTTGAGAAAAGGCTAATCCGCTGCGGATCCGGATATTGAAAAGGAAAGTGTGAATTGTCCTGATCCGTTGGTGGCTCCCCATGATTCGAGTGTAAATACCTACAGGAACTTGCAAGGGTTTCATATTTGTTGTTTCATATATCATCATATATCACTCTATATGGGACACCACGCAGCGAACAACCTCCCAGGTAAGTCAATCAAGGTATCCGGGTGCCATGTCCCACAGACATCCATCTTACTTCAAAGCTCCTAGCTGGCAAACGTTTTGGGTCAAAAGGCATGTCCCGTGCAGCCATATCACAATCACAACTGGACTACTATGTGTGTATAATATGATATATATAAAATATAATAATGTAATACAATATATATTGTAATATCTAATATTTTACTATAACAATTCTTTGGAACTCCCTCCTGCCTTCTCGTCTTTGACGCAACAATCTCCTGTGTAGGACGGCCTGACCGGCTCCGCCTGGGGCGACTGGGCCAACTACACTGATTCGCCGCTCCGCGCATTGACCCCAGCTCAGGAGGGCTGCCAAATCCAAACACTCGCCAAACGGCCTGAAAGTTGGTAGAGACATGAGAGAGAGAGAGAGAGCATGAAAGAACGTTGACCAAACACTCGGGTTGGCTACAGAAACCACACTCAAGCTATATAAATGTCCTTTATTGTCAAAAACTAAAGTTTGTTCTACAGCAGCATTGACTACTAATTATTGAGGATTGTGTTGATTCCTGGTTTGCGAGGAGTGCATCGCGGGGACTGGAGGGCCCTTGCCAGACATGTACTGGGACCCGGCTGGCATCACCAGCAAGAAGAGCAAGGAGGAGATCAACATTAGATGCGATTTGTGGTTCCGACCACATCCTCGAAAGGTATTGAGATTCCCCAAACCCACCCAAACCACTATCTTACGAGGTAGGAACCCTAATGAGTCCGAATGCACAGAAAGCATTTCGTTGGACCGGAACTGGGGTCACGGTGTAGGTAGTCACAATACTGGTTTCCATCGGGCACCCGTGCCTGGTATTCCAAACATGCTAGAACAGGATATGTATTTTCTGTCTGAATGGGATCACTACAGCACTGATGGATCCAGCTTTTGCTATATGATTACGTGATACGCTGTTTTTTTACTACTCTCTTGTCTACCAGACGTTTCCGGTTCTCATTTGGAGATCCTCTATGATCCTGTAGCGTGTAACTAGGGTCCGCTGCGCACCTGAGGCAGAATACCAAGAAAGTGTAGTAGAAAGTGTGTATGTATGTATATATGTATGTATGTATGTAATATATATAATAAGACTCGTATAGTTCTTGCTTTTCTGTGATGATGACCCGTAACATATTTGATTTCAATATCGGATGTGTTCCTGAAATGCACACACCTTTCTACGACCCAATCTACCCCCTACCATTGTCGGTTTTCCCATCCAACCTTTGCTTGCTTGGGTATGCCTTGGAACTGGGACCAATCCAATCTTGATGAGTTGGGAACCGGACCCAAAAAAGCGCCCATGTTGGTCCAGGATAGCGCCAGGGGTGTGCTTGTCTCCCAGTGCATCCTCAGTGACGTTCGGCGTCCATTTTCATTGTGAAACACTTCTCGTTTTGCTCCGCCTTACACGACCACAAAGAGATCTACTTTGTTGTAGGTGACCTACTTCAATCGACGGTGTCCACCGGTCGTCCGAGTGACAGCCTCTCTGACCTGGCCCAGTCAGCCCGGCGTCGGTCACCTTCGCCTGTCGTGTCACCGACGACGTCGGCGAGGAGATCCTGGAGCTGCGCGCCCAGGAGTTGAAGCATGGCCGCGTGGCGATGTTGGCGTGCATCGGTTGGTTCCATGTGGCCGGCGGCTTCCACATCATCGGAGACTATGCCGCTTGGTACACGAAGACGAAACGAAAGAGCACGGAGGTCGAAAGAGAGAAGGGGGAGGAAGGGGGAGGTTGGGTCGGTGTGGGGAGGAGGGGTCCGGTAGTAAGAAGACAGGTGACTCAAGAAGAGGAATGCTCTGGGCGCAGGGGGATGGAGGGAAGGAACTTTTAGAAAGAAGCTCCATCATGGCGTTCAAAAGAATTTACAACTCGCTGGAGAGCCTAAGTTCGCATTTATTGTGAACTGCGAATAGTTTTTTGTTGATGGGTGGCTGTTTGTTGAAGACACATGACCACTGCGGTTTTGTCAGACCTCCGCAACAGTCTTTGCTTCAGTTTGCGAGAACGAGGCCATGTCCCCCATAAATGTGGACACCCGGGTCACTGCTGACATTCGGGTCATTGCACGAAGCATCTAAGGCGGTGGGAGTGCACTTGGATGACAATCCCTTGGTCAGCTTGACCCAGATGCCCATGGGTGGCATTTGGCAGGCCGGCAGCCGGCAGTGTTTCCCCTCCCCGCGGCCATTTGGACGTGGAGTGCGTTTTCAGGGAAGCAGGGTGAAACACGACGAAGCATTCTTGATGTCGGGATGCCTTTTCAAACTAAAGCTCGGGGCCGGCTTCGAGGGCACTGAGGAGGTGTGGTGGTGCATAATTTGATGCATATGACTCACTCAAACAGCATTGCTCATGGCATTCAGCAATCCCGGGTGCCACCAAGTGTCACCTGCTACCGCTACGTGTTCATCTCTTTCTGATGTATTCTTCAGCATTTGCATCCATGGTTTGTGGCCTATGGATCCATTTGGATTGTTAAAAACCAGTCACCTGATGACACGACAAGGCTGTGAACTGGATGATCCAGGGAACTCCCTTAGAAGTTTCTTCTTGTCTTTAGAAGTTGACAGTTGTTTTCTGCCAGGTGGTCTTCACCATCATGTGCCTGGAATGGCTGACCACCTACGTTTGCAAGCCTCCGGCCGAGAAGCCTTGGGACATCCTGGGCTGGTCAGACATCCTCGTTGAGGATGAGAAGAGCATTTGGAATCAGTTCCGCAAGGCTGAACTTCAGGAGCCGAGCAAGCCCCCCCGACAAATCAGCCTGGAAGCAGCCAAGAATGTAGCAAGCGAAGACATGGACCAAGTACGCAGTTGTAGTACTTCCTGACAAATGTCAGATCGGTACATTTGTGCATCCTGTCCTAAACAAGGCCGAAGTTGGTGAAGGTCTTCCAGTTCCTTGAATGACTTCCCCATTTCCTCGAATCCCTTCAGTTCTTCATAGATTGGATCCGATGTTTCCCAAGGTAACATCTCTGCCACTGATGTTGTCCGCTGCTGATAATGCTCCATCCCTGCTCCTTCAGGAGCTGAACAACAGCCGTTTGGCGATGATGGGCATTGTTGGGCTCATTACTCAGGCCCGATGGGACATGATGGGACGTGGCGGGTCGTGGAAATAGTTCAGGTGCGTTTCAAACATCATATCGATTCCAATGTCTATGTCACCATCAGAAGGTAAAGTGCCATTCAATACTTCAAATCTGTGCCCGCCCAATTGATCGGAGCGAGACGGCGCCGTCTCACCGGGTCAACAGCTGTGGCTCTTAGAATTCCATCGTTTTAGATTGATCCATTTTGACCACCTGCTGACGGACGAAACCCCGTTTGGCTGCGCTACGCTGCGCTGCGGTGGGATGGATGATGGGCCCGGGGAGCTGCAGGATGTCCTCTTTGGCGACTATGGACAGAAGTTCACCCAGCTGAACTGGGACAAGAACTTCTTCCCTCCAGACCAGGGTGTCTACGAGCCCTTTGCCACCTTCTCCTACCCGACCATTTTCCCAGAGCTGTAAACGAGGAGTGGTTGCCCTGTTTGAGTGTGCTTTCAATTACGTTGAATAAGAGTCACTTCAGAAATCCTCAGAGCATCTTAGAGCTGTACTGTCAGGATGTTTCTTGATGGTTTTTCGTCCAAAGCATGTTGGCATCGCATTGTTCAATGTTTGTTCTATTGCTGTTCCATGAGGAGCCCTTCGATGAGCTTGATAGCTAGTCCTCCCAGCAAACATCTGGGATTTGCCCAAAGGCAGCACCAAACAGCACCTGTGCCAAGCACCGTGGATTTTATAGAGGTCGGCTGACGACAAGAGTCATCAGCGGGATCTTTGGACTCCGAAGACCACGAAGACCAAACACACTGGGGAAACGGTCGCGCGTTGACGTTCGCCGGGCCTTCCCTCTCAATACCCAGACACGACTAATGGGCCTGGAAGATTTGCCGCCCCATTGACCCGTCAGACGAGCCCAATGACCCAATGTAGGTAAATCTGCCAATCCCATGTGTGTTTGTGATGGCCCTGCATGGCCTTGGAATGCGTCATCCGAGATCCATACGGATACGCAATGGGTGTGAGAGAAACTCCGCGACCGAATTCCTCAGATTTACCAGATTTGGAGGATCGGCTGAGCCGCTCAGGGCTGTGGAGCTTTTGGAAGGATGTGGAGGAGGGGTTCAGGGGATCTAAGGGTTCTTTTGGGCAAAACTGGTGTGTTCCAACTTTGTTCACACCCCTACTAGCTTCGACCGCGCTAGCAGACACCTCCCACCCAAATCAGATTATCTATATATAGAGAGAGAGAGAGTGGGACTAGACATGAGGTTAGAGGTCATTCATGATTTGATGATGTTCGATGAACCCATGAACCTTGCTTTTTTGATCTCAAGACATCCAGCGGCTGTTTGTTAACTGGGGCCCCACACCAGGAGCTGTAAGGCGCTGGGAGCGCTGGATGGACAATCGGTGTCAAGTCCGGGTTTG